CTAATCCCTCACTCATCCCCAGGGAATAATAAGTGTGGCCTTCCTGGTGAAACTTTGAACTGTTCTTAATCTTCCTGGGGACTGTTCAAAGGGCAGCCTGGAAAATGGGAGACAAGTTGTGTCTGAGCCCTCCACCTAAGCATAAACATATAAACTAAACTAGCTAAAATTCTACTGCTGAAGAAGGACTTCCTTTATTTATTTGTTCACTTGTGTAAGCCCCACACTCATGCTCTTGCTGTAAGGGATAGCCTGCCATATTCCCCAACGAATGATTCTCAGGGTGCCATTTGACCCATGATAGATCCCCTTCTTTTTTTCAGCAGGAAATGAAAGGCATCTTCTCGTTTGCTCCTCAGAGAAAATGCCCAGTGAAGAGTGCTTTTGGCTTCATCTGTGTCGAAAGTAAATCTGCTAACATTGTTATGCCCTTATACAAACGCACGCTATGTCTGTATCCAGAATACTGGGAACAGTTCAGATCTCCACATTTGGAAAAGTATAACAGAGCTAGAAGAAGTACAGAGGAGGGAAACCAAAATGTCAGAAGACTGAAACACCTTCCATATAAGAAGCAGCTAGATTATTTAGAAATCGTTAGTTTAGGGGGAAAAAGGCAACTGAGGGGAAGCACGATCAACATGTATAAAACCATCTATGTAGACAGGGAGTTTTCTCCCTTTGTCAAACTTCTAGGACCAGAGGACATCCAAAGAAGCTCACTGGGAGGAGATTTAAAATAGACAGAAGGAAGCTGTTCTTTACACAGCTCAGAATCAACCTCCGGACTTTGTTACAAGACATGGCCATGGCCATTAACTTAGAAGGGTATAAAAGGGGATTGGACAAATGCATGAAGGACAGGTCTATCAAGGGCTCTTGCTCTTAAAAGTGTCAGTGTTGCTTCCAGGTTGGAAGTAATATGTATCCAAATACCAATTACAGGGGACAATTGTGTGGAAAAGGGATACATCTCCATCTCCTGTTGTGAGGACCACAATGGCATCTGACTGACTACTGTGAGAAGCAAAGTGCTGGGCTAAGATGGCCTTTGGCCCAATCCAGCAGGGCAAAACTGCTTATGTGTTGCTCCATAAGGAGTTTTGCTTGGGCAACATCATTGGTTGAGCCCAAGAAGCACAAGGGGCAACGTGTTTCCTTTTCCATCCCTTCGCATTGTCCCATCTTGTCAAGAAAAAAAAAGAGACTATTACAGAAGTTTGAAAGTGGAGATGGGTCCCTGGTTGCTTAATCTGTAAGAGTGAGACCTGAGACCTACCCTCTCCATATTGCTAAGTGAAAGCATCTGAATCTTTACTAAATAGGAGAGTATGTCTTGAGGCCAAATGATTAGAGACTGTTTAATTTCTTCTACACTCTTATTTTTTAAAAATAAAACTCATACATTTTCTTCCAAGCAACATTCCATATCGAATTAACTAGAAATTTTGGCGAGTGAGAGATGACAATGACATGACCGTTTTTGAAATGTATAGTTTGCCACCTTGAAGGTCAAAGAGATCCCAAGGGGGTTGTCATTGTTGTCGTTATTGTTATTATTTAAATTTATCTGCCGCCCAATTCCCAGAGACTCTGGGAGGTTTATAAATTGTTTAAAACATTAAAAACAAAAAAGACAAAAATGAAAAGTAAAAGTGACAAGAATGACAAACTGGATGGGAACTAAGGAAAAAGAACTCTCACAATCTAAAGACAGCTTCACTCACCTTCACCAAAGACCTAGGTGAAAGTTCTTCAAAACACCAATAGGGCGGGGGCTGTTCAAGTTTCAGGGGGAACCTCATTCCAGAGGGCAGGCACTGCTACAGAGAAGGTGCTTTTCTGGGGACTTGGTAGATGACATTGTTAAATCAAAGGAACCAGAGCATGCCAACTCTGCCAGATAGGATTGGCCAGGCAGATACTATGGGAGACAGGCGGTCCCTCAAGTAACTAGGCCCTATGCCATGTAGGGCTTTATAGGTAACAGCCAGCAACTTGAATCACACCTGGAAGCAAACTGGCAACCAGCGCAGCTCCTGAAGCAGAGGTGATACAGGCCATACCGAGGCATGCCCACCACTGCCTATGCTGCTGCATTCCGAACCAATTGAAGCTTCTGGGTGGTCTTCAAGGGTGGCACCATATACAGCACATTGTTGTAGTCAAGCCATGAGGTGACCAAGGCTTGACTGACTGTCTGAAGGGCCCCCCAATCTAGGAAAGAGTACATCTAGCACATCAGATGAAGCTGTGCCAAAACCTTCCTGGGCACAGTTCCCCCCTGCTCATTGAGCAGAAGCTGTGAGTCCAGGAAGACACCCCCCCCCCCTTGTGTGCCACCCTTGAATGGGGAATGTAGGTTGGGATATTTCTCCTACTTTCCTTTTCTGTTTCATCAGTTTTTCTTGCTGCTTGTTTTCCTAATTTCTGGTCTATTTTGAGCAATCAAAGTATTCACCAACTTCAAGACTGGTTTACCTTTCCCCTTGAGTCAGCAGCATCTCTGGGGACATGAATCAGGGACATTCAGTCAGGTCAAGACAGCTAGATCCTTTGGGATACATAGCTGTGTCTTTAAGTGGAAGTGTCAGGCTGTACTTTTTTCCCCACACCCCAAGGATCTACCATCTTGTTCTGCCTAATGATAGGGTTGGCTGGCCATATTGAATATTTTCAAATTGAAAAATGTTTAATTAACTATTCTGTCATCTTCAGGATGTAGACTCCATTTCTCTGAGCAAGTCAGAACTGGAAGGGAAAGTACATTTGCTGAGAGGAGAGTTGCAATTTCGCAAATGTGTCTATGAAGAGGTAAGAACAAGCCTGGCTTTATCTTAGATAGAATTGACTCATAGGCGAAAGAATATGAATACACACTCCAGTCCAAACTAGATTTCTTGCTAAGATGGATTTCCTATGCCACCAGCCACACGAGGACCAGGAAGGACAGGAATCCTTCCTGGAGCGATCTGTAATTTTCTAAAGAAAAAAAGCCGGGTGAAAATTAGATTCATTTTTTTCATGTTCCAGTATTCATGGTGCAAAAAGCAATGCCCGCTGAGGCACAGAAAATGGCAAGATTGAAAGCAAAGAGAAGTGACATAGGTATCTTTCTGAAGAGCCTCCGACTCTGTCAAAATGGCTTTCCTATGAGCTGAACCAATGCTCCTGGAGCTGGGCTGAAATATCTCAGAAGATATTTCCCTAAGAAAAGATCTGAGCTAATAAAAGAGGAGCCAATGTCCCACTCAGTATTCTTCACCCTTTTGTCACCCTATGTTTATTTCCACATGCCTCAAAACAACCCTAGCCTTGAGCAAGAGGGATTAACCATTAAGTAAAATAAAGACGTGCTGTGGGCACCAAGGAAAGGGGGACACAACAGAGATTTTCCCCCTAACTCTTTTCCCCTTATAACAGTGTTATTAAAAAATACACAAGAAGTGTTGAAAATCTGCATTTTTTTCTATTGCCCTAATTATAAGTAAATAATTTGCTTATATTGCAAATTACTCAGTGTTAAAATATATATTTTTTAAAAAGTTTATATTTAATACAGTTGTGGGGTCCGGCCTGAGGGATGGCCTGGAAGAAAACTGTATTTTATTTTCTTATTTTACCTTCAGTACTTATTGAGACTTAATACCTTGTCAGTTAAGCAACAGAAAGGCCAAGGGGCACCATTGCTAGGCTCTGCTTAGGGCATCAGTTGGCCTTAATCTGGCCCTGGTGCAAGCTGAGTGGGGAGGATTCCCACTTGCTTTCAAAAGGCTGGAGGAATATACAGTATATAGAGCAGTATTTCTCAACCTTGGCCCCTTTAAGATGTGTGGACTTCAATTCCCAGAATTCCCCAGCCAGCATGGGGAATTCTGGGAGTTGGTCCACACATCTTAAAGGGGCCAAGGTTGAGGAATACTGATATAGAGCACCAGAGGTTTGATGGTCATATAATCAATATAATATATTGTAGTTGCAATGTTCTAAAAAAGGTGCTTATTAAAAGATGAAGAACATGGTTCACTAAATCAGCAGACTGGATTCTTTGACTGTATTTCATTTGATGTAGTAGTTTTGGAGAAGCCCCTGCTGTAGTCGGTCATATGTCATGGTTTGGTTTGGTTTTAAATTAATCATGGAAATGTTTCCATGGTTTCCTACCTGGTTCAGCCATAGATTTTCCTATGATCTTGCAGGAATTAGCACAGCTCAGAAGCAGTGTTTATGACACTAACATCTTCTTGCAAATGGACAACAGCCGAGGCTTGGACATTGACTCCATCATCAAAAATGTTGAAGCATGGTATCAAAGTGTTGCCATGGGGAGCAAAGCAGAAGTTAACGCTCTTTATGAAAACCGAGTAAGTTATGGGGACAAGGGGCCTTGTATCTGTTTAAAAGATTGTATGTCTTACCCCCAGAACTCATTCTGCCTTTCATGTCCTTTCCCTGGCATTCTTCCAAACATCTAGTTGGCATGTTCCAGGGAACATACTTAATTTATGAAATATTAATTTATGCTTCTTGTTCTCTGTCCCACCATTTTTGTCCACCTCACTTTTCTCTTGAGCCCATTCTCTTTGGTATGCTTCTAATATCCCTCAGGTCAAAGCTGAAAGCACGTATGCCTAGAACCACCACGGAGGACTTTTGCCTGACTTATTATATCTTTTTGATTGTCCTCACAATCCAACAGTGTTTTCTCAAGATGAAAATGGCAAATTATTATTAACATGTTTCTTATTTTTTTGTCTTGGATATCAGTTCCAAGAGCTCCAGCAGCAAAGAGGGAAATATTCTCAAACTCTGAAGATCAACCAGCAAGAGATTACAGATCTGACTCGTCTGATCCATAAGTTGCAGTCTGAATATGATGTTATTAAAAAACAGGTAGGGGCAACCTGGTATGTTATTTCTCATTCAGGACCTGATGGTTTCCATATACCTATTATAATGAAGTATTTCTAGAAACATCATTTTGGATTGAGTCTAAACTTGTCATCACTTTTCATGGTGTGGTCCGTTTGCTGAAAATGCTGTTTTTATTTTTTTTTTTTATCTCAGCTGCCCTCCATAACAACATTATCACATCTGATGGGTTGTGTGCTGACACTAAGCTTCACGCATGACAGGAATATTTATATCCTCTCTTTCTGTCAGACAGAAAGAGTAAAATATCTTTGAGTAAAATAATTGAAATAACAATAAATGCAAGCTTGGGCATCTGTGAGAGGGGGAGTGACATCACATGCATTATACATTTGCAACGTAATAACACAATAAAACTGACCTGAATTACATAATTTGCATAATTTGTGTGTGATGGCATTGGGAGATGCATGATGTCATCATGGCTTCTGTCAAACTCCTATGAATATAACATTTCTTTTTTTCCCCTAGATGTAAAGGTAGTGATGACTTTAACAGATTCTCTTTTCCAGAGTTGTTTTTGAATGGTTCCATTGTGGGAGAATAATGTTCCTCCAACCAATTCAGGAGGATTAGGTATCCTGTTTGGTAGAGGACAGTCTCTCTTTGAAAGGCTACGGATAGCACTATTTAAGGCCTCTTAAGGGATCTTCAACTGAGGTCAAATTTAAAGAGAAGGAACCTTGAAGTTGTCTACCAGTGGTCACTACCTGAGCAACAGGCTTAGCAGGCATGGAGGTTGCCTAGCTAGTTATCTTCTCCAAACTGAGTTGCAGTGTATTTTTATTGGAATTGTAGCCATTTGTTTCTAAATTTGCCTTTTGACATAAGCGAGTATTTTATGCAACTCTGTATTATCTTTCGTCCACTTCCTTTGGGATTCGTTTCCCATTTTCCTTGCAATGGATTGTTGGCCAATCTATTCCCCTATTCCAAACATACATTAAGGATTGGACAACCATTTGTCCAACATTATTTATTTATTTATTTATTTATTTATTTATTTTTCAAATTTAGATACTGCCCATCTCATGAAAAAGTGACTCTCTGCTGTTCACAATAAAA